CCCGCCCCGCCAGCCCGGGCCGCCACCAGAGAGAGGCGGCGCGCGCCGCCGGGAGAGAGAGCGGCACCCCCTTCCCCCCACCTCCTCCAGCGCCGCCGCTACCGCCCCCTGCCGGCCCGGCGGGGAACTGCTGCAGCGCAACCCCCGGGGGGGTGTTAAAGGGGCAGGGAGGGGGCAGCTCCCTGCGGTGCTGCCGCCCCCACCGGCATCCCCGGGGGCTGGGCAGAGACCCTCGGGAGCCGGGGCCGTCCCGCACCGCCCCTTAGCATCTGGCTTCAGCCTGGAACGCCGTGGTTAGCTGGGTCCGTCCCGCGCCCCCCTCATTAGCTGGGTCTACACTGATCACCCTCATTAGCTGGGTCCATCCCGCACCCCTCTCATTAGCTGGGTCTATACTGGATCACCCTCATTAGCTGGGTCCGTCCTGTGCCCCCCTCATTAGCTGGCTCTACACTGGATCACCCTCATTAGCTGGGTCCATCCTGCGCCCCCCTCATTAACTGGATCAATCTTGCACACCCTTCGTTAGCTGGATCCCCCCTGGATCCCACACCCCCATTACCTGGATCTATCCTCTACCTCCCTCATTAGCTGGGTCCGTCCTGCACCCCCCTCATTATCTGGGGCCATTTTGCCCCCCCTCTTAGTAGCCTGGATCCTCTTGTTTAGATGGATCCATCCTGCCCCCAACCCTGTTTATTAGCCATTATTAGCTGACTCTACCCTGGATCACATTAATTAGCTGGATCCACCCTGCGCCCCCTCATTAGCTGACTCTAGCCTGGATCACCCTCATTAGCTGGGTCCATCCTGTGCCCCCCTCATTAGCTGTGGCCTCCACACCCCAGTGTGGGGGTGTCCGGCCAAGGGGTCAGTCTGGGGGTGTCTGCCAGGGGGTCAGTGTGGGGGGTGTCCAGCCAAGGGCCTCAGTTTGGGGGTGTCCAGCCGAGGGATCGGTTTGTGGGGTCTGGCCAGGAGGTTGTTTTGGGGGTGTTTGGCCGGGGGGTCAGTTTGCAAGTGTCCGGCCAAGGGGCCAGTTTGAGGGTGTCCAGCCGGAGGGTCAGTGTGGGGGGTGTCCAGCCAGGGGGTCGGTTTGAGGGTGTCCGGCCAGAGGTCATTTTGGGGGTGTCTGGCTGGGGGGTCGGTTTGAGGGTGTCTGGCCAAGGGGTCAGTGTTGGGGTGTCCAGCCGAGGGGTCAGTCTGGGGGTGTCCAGCTG